AGCATGTGGCCAATCTCATTCATCTGTTGCTGGACCTGGGCTTCCAGGTGAACTTCAGCAAGTCAGAGCTGCAGCCGGTACAAGTGGTGGAGTTTCTGGGCTTCCAGGTCAGTTCAATAGCCATGACATTAGAACTCCCCACGGACAAGGTCCATCGGACGTTGACAACTTGCCGGAGCTTAATTGCCCAGCGACAGAGTACGGTTCGACGACTTGCCAGCATCCTGGGACTGCTGTCCTCAGCAGCACCCGCGATTCTTCCCACCAACCTGCATTTGAGCGGCCTGGAATCAGTGCGGGCATCAGCCCTACGCCGGCAAGTAACATGGGAGGAGACCGTCCCGCTATGCGCAGCAGCACTGGAGGATCTGTCTTGGTGGCTTCAGCACCTGGAGGAGGTCAACGGCCGCTCTATTCTTCTGCCAGTTCCAGACCTGGTCATGCAGACGGATGCAGCATCCACAGTCGGCTGGGGAGCAGTCTGTGGTCATCGCCACGCATCAGGCCTTTGGACGGTGGCGGAGACGCACATTCATATCAACTGCCTGGAACTACGTGCAGCCTTTTTTGGTCTACAATCGCTCGCGAAGGACCTTCGGTCTGCTCATGTGATCATCGAAATCGACAACCAGGCGGCTGTATGGTGCATCAACAAAATGCGATCAACCACCAGCCCGGAGCTGAACAGCGAAGCCCAACAACTGTGGCAATGGTGCCTGGAGAAAGACATCACCATCAGAGCCGAGTACTGGCCAGGCGAATTGAATGTGGAAGCCGACTTTTGGTCACGGCAAACGGGAGCAGCACAGTGGATACTCCACCGGGAAGTCTTTCAGAGACTAGCCAACCAACTTGCTTTTCCTCTGGAAGTGGATCTGTTTGCCTCACGCACGGCTGCCCAGCTACCCCGATTTGTGAGCTGGAAGCCAGACCCGCACTCGTGGAGGACCGACGCTCTCAGCTTCACATGGTCAGACCTGAATGCGTACCTGTTTCCTCCGTTTTGTCTCCTGACGAGGTGCCTGAGAAAGATTCAGAGGGAGGAGGTAGCTCAGTGTGTGTTAGTTGCCCCGATGTGGAGAGGAGCCCCATGGTTTCCCCTCTTACTGAGCCTCTGTGTCGACCAACCAATAATGCTGCCTCATCACCCTCGTCTACTCATGAATGAGCAGGGCGACGTTCACCCTCTCGTGGAAGCGAGACAGCTGCGCTTAGTCGCTTGGCCGCTGTCGGGCGTATATGGCAGCATCAACAACTTTCAGCAGACGTGTCGTCGCTCCTCAGTTCTTCTTGGCGTGGAGGAACGAGGAAACATTACGACTCAGCTTGGTCACTGTGGTGTCAGTGGTGCCGTCAACGGGAGATTAATCCCGTTTCGCCATCTTCCGGCATAGCAACTGTCCTGCAGTACCTTACGGACCAAGTGTCGGCAGGGAAGTCCTACCGGACCATTGGAGTGTACCGCTCTGCACTGTCCAGTACCCTGCAGCCGATGGACGGCCACGCGATCGGCCAACACCCGGTCGTCTCCCGGTTGATGCGTGGCATTTATCAACAACGTCCACCTGCGCCTCGCTATTCGGCTACCTGGGACCCGGCAATCCCGCTAGGCACTCTCCAATCTTGGCCTCCGGTGAAGGATCTGTCCCTGGAGCAGCACACCCTAAAGTTGTGCTTTCTACTGGCTATAACAGGTGCTTTCAGGGCATCTGAGCTCCGGCATCTGTCAGCCGACTCCATTGGTTTGTCGCCGGAAGGTGTCTCACTGCAATTGTTGGCATTAACTAAGACACAGCGCTCTAGCAGCTTGAAGAGAGTCTTCGTAGCCAGATATCAGGTGGAAGCAGTTTGCCCTGTAGTCCACTTGGAAGCATACCTGGAACGCACAAAGGCTTTGAGACCCTCAGGTACTCAGCAGCTCTTCATCTCGGCCCGCAAGCCACACCGTGCGGTATCAGCTGCAACAATTTCTCGTTGGCTTGTGTCCGTGTTGTCCACCGCTGGCGTTGACACGTCGGTGTTCAAAGGACATTCAACCCGAGCCGCTGCATCGTCGACGGCTGCAGGCGCTGGCCTGTCAGCTGATGAGGTCATGCGCGCCGTTGGCTGGAATCAAGAGTCTACGTTCCGGCGCTTCCATCTCAGAGACCCCAGGCCTGCTGTGTCAGTCCGCATTCAGCAGGAGTTCGCAACTGGAGTATTGGCTGCTGCTGTGCCAGCATCTACACTGCCCTGAAACAATGCTGACAGTGTGCTTGTTCGTGTACGTCATGATGGTATGACTGTGTGCAAAACATACCTTCTGGACTAATCCGCTAGTTTACCTGCGTAGTGTACGCATTACAAGTAATTTCGGGACGGCCAGTGTTAGCGTCCCGCCATACTAGGTTATGAATATTTTTCCAGATTTTGGTTTTCATGTTGCCACATATTTAGTTGGTGTTAGGCCCTTGTGTTATATTCCAGCCTGGGTGTACTGATTTGCTGCGTCAAAATTATATCACTGACGCTCGTAGTCGCCATTTGTGCATAAATAACTGTTGCCACGGAGGCCGGTTGACGTGCGCTGTGAAGTATACACTGTTATATCGAAGCTCGAAGCTCCGATATGCAATTGCCCATTTCACAAGCAATGATGCATTGTGATGTGAAGTGGGGATTGTATGAGGAGCAGAGAGCGGACATATAACAGTCCCACCCGGGTACCCTCCCTAATAAGATCTATAATGCGCTGAAAAAAGGGTGAAGAAGAAGCTAGAGTTCCCGCGTTTGAGCTGATGGATCACGTGTGGAGCAGTTTTCCTTACGAAAATTTGTTTGTCAAATTTTAGTAAAACTGCGTTTTGAAAATGCTATCTCGAGCAAAGGAAAACCCGATTTCGGGTTGGTATACACTGTTATATCTCCGCTCTCCGCTCCAATCCCCACTTCACATCACAATGCATCATTGCTTGTGAAATGGGCAATTACATCATGAATCATACACATTATTAGATACAGTTCAGTGGGACTACTACGCAGAGCAACTGGACGGGTAGCCCTGGAGCTAACCCCACATCGTTTCATGTTCTAGTCACCCGTGTTATCTCCCTAAATGCCGCGACTTTGTGGGGATAAATCCAACCTCTCTAGGGCTGCATGACCAAGTCCACTAAAAGTTTGTGTAGTCGACGCGCTATTTTTCCACATGGAGTGAGTCGAAGCTATGCCAAATGCAAACTTTTGACTGGTGCTACTAAAAAAATCCATAGCGACATTACATGGGCAAGGGAATAATTTGAAACGGTGCGAGTCTCCCTCTCTGCCCCCTGGTCTGGTACGCATTTGGGGTCTAGTTTCACTTACAACATGTGGAACACAGCCTACAGCAAAAGAAAGACACCATACAGGTACATGTTGATGGCTTGCAGCCATCAAAATTGGAAAGAAATCCATCCATTGCCACTTAGGGTTGGTTCACATAAGCAAAATCGGCGCCGTAAGACATCGGCGGTGAGCCAGCTCCTGATCCGTTGCGCATGTGGTTCGAGTACCAAATCTACAAAGTAGTACAGAATGTGCCGAAATGCTACGACAGCTTTGCCAATCGAAGCTTGAATTCTTTGTTTCTTCGGTAGTTCAAGGTCCTTTGGTGATGGCCACTCGATGCTTCCTTTTACTGGAGATCATGAAACTGCTTCTACACATTTTATTGCAGTCTAGTAAGCGATGGTGTCGAAATTATGCTTGCAAACGTTGATGAAGTCACAAGAACTTGCCAATGTACCGTATTTTCCCCATTAAACGTGCACGTCTCCAATACTAGTACGTCTCCAATTGTAGTACACGTTGAGTGTGGATCAAAAATATAAAAGGACACGTCTCTAAAAAAAGTACATGCCGGTATGACGTGATGGGCATTACTGGGGTATAGATACCAGGGTCCACCTTACTTCGTTTTTCTTACCCGTTCATCATCTTTGTGTCTTTGTACACTGATCCTTACCATGGTTGGATGTATTTACAGCCTTACAGCATCATCAGAGAAGTTCCGCACTATGTTAAGTTGAGCAACTTTACGTTAGTGGGCGGGGAAAACCCGTGAATTCGCGAGTTTGCACTCCACTTACGGAAAGTTGTCTACGTAGAGTACGTAGATAGGGCTCTGATAACGTAGCTGGTCCGTAAGTGGATTGGGGTACACATTTATGACTCTCTCCCCAAGTCGATCTGGTCGTACACTGCCGCGTTCGGAGTTGCCAAGGGCAGCTACGTGATTTGAAGACTCCGTATGGCGGAACACAGATGCGCATGCAGTTTACGTAAGACTTTCCGTAGATCAACTACGTTTTTTACTAACGTAATTACGTTATGCGGAACCTCTCTATTATCACGAGTTGTTTGCCACCCAACCCAGGCAATCAATCTTTCCAGAAACAATAAAAGTACACGTCTCCAATACTAGTACAGTCTCCTATAGTAGTACATGTCTGACCACCTTTGAAAAAATAAAAGGACTGTACATTTATTGGGGAAAATACGGTATCCATCGTATTTTTTTTCGTATTTGCCTCATAAGTTGCACAACAGTCAAGCAGACATCCGAGAAGGACGGGTTGACATGCTGACTTATTTGCCACCTTGAAGCGACTACAAGAATGGCGAACGGACCTCCTCTCTAGCTTCAATTTAGGAAAATTTAGGACAAGTATTGGTTTGAAACTTTGACAAAGTCTGGCTCCCGGCACCGGCGATCACTGGCGCGAACGGTTCACAAACCACTTTTGGTCAAAATTCTACGGGATCAGTTCCGGGGCAGATCGCAAGAGCCCAACTTTGCCGGCGGTCCCTTGCGATTATTTACCGTATGATTTTGTTACGACTGCACTGGTTCACAAAATCGCAATGCGCCGGGAGAGGTTGCAAGAGGCCCACTGCCGGTGACTCCCGGCGTGTACCGGCGATATGTGAACCAACCCTTTTAACAAGTTTTTTTGGTTTTCGAAAACTTCCCTGTCCAGAAACAAGGTTTGCTGAAAGATCTCAAGAGTGTAGTCAAACATCAGGTGGGATGCCCAATTGGAACCAAGAAGGAGCTTGCAGACCTTGACTTGGAACTGTTGAACCATGTCCATTCTGTGAGTATGTATTTTATTGTAATAATAGGGCTTCGAAGTGTGATGTCAGGTCCTTGACAACTTCGTAGCAACTGGGTACGCGCGGGCACAAACAAGTTCACACCCATCGTGTCCCCCAGCACGTGGTGTTTTGCACTGAAAATTTCAAATATTACATCATGGCTTGCGCAGATTAGAGCAGATACCTCACACAAACGCGAAGTACCCGATACCCTTTTATTGTCCTTTCGGGACACAAGTTTGCTAGCTTTGTCCTCCTTTCTGCAGGGCACAGTAGAGCAGTGACTTGCATGAAATTAAAATTACAAAATCGGGATGCGAATCCTGCACTTATTATTGCCTCCCCAAGGAGCCTGGAGGTCGATTCGTACGTCTTGCATGCAGGTAAAGTTTTCTTTCGCTGTCTGTGAGAGGTGATTCTTTGCGCTGTATCCTTTCTCGTGAAATCGGACATCTGAATTTGCTCTCTTTATGAGGCGGAAAGATGCTGAAGCCAGCGAGAATTAATCTCTGATCAGAACTCTGAAATATTTTCGCCAGCTCGTCGCAGACCCTTTGTTTCATCTTCAAAATACTGGGAAGACCAGTCATTGCTCCATCAGCTTAGCAAACCTCTAATTATCAGCAAGGGGCACCTACATGTACATGTACATTGTACATGTCGAAAAGCTGCTTTTTCAAGCAAAACATCGATTCCCACCACCAGAAACCTGCATATTACTGCAAAAACAGTGAAGAGCAAGGGGACGCTAAAGTTTGTGTGTGCCCAAAAATCTCGTTGGCATGCGTTGTCAAGTATATGTGACTTCATCACTTCGAAGCCCTATAGAAAGGCTACTAAGTTCTTTTTAAATTGAAGTTGCAGTTCATTTTGTTGTAGCATGAACTTTCAAGACTGTATGCAAGACAGAAAGTTTTGGGAAATGCCCGTTTCCGATCCCAGGGAGCAAGCGTCTCATTGCTCTTCACCTGAATCTTTTTGGTTAGTTCGGGCCACCTGTTTTCTGCATGCAACCACAAAAAGTAAGGACTGAAACTTGAATTTCTGATTCTGACAAGGCAAATGTGAGCCATGATCAGCTAAAACTGACCCATCCTTTTGCCAAAAAATCAAGAAAATCGCGGTTTTCAGAACTGCGGGGAAATCCTTTCATCAGAGAAGAAAGGAGATGGATCCTAGCTGATGCCAATCTCTCATATGCTCCTAGTGCAACTCATCACCCAGGTAATTTGTCCTTGGGTCCCTGTAAAGCTGCAGACGAGGAGCATTGTGCTAGGCTGCATAGACTCACAGTAAGCTGTTGCCGATTAGACCCGTTCCAGCAGTGGCTGGCGGCCCTAATCAGCTCTGATGTTTTTGAATTCTTTATTCTCACGAATGTTGGGGAGAGCATTGACAGTCGAGGCTTCCGGCATGTTGGAATTTCTCACATCTCTCACTCGATCGAACAATTTTCTATAATTCCCAGCCAATCAATTCGTGGTGAGTGTGTACAATGCGCAAAGCATAATATTTGTAATCAATCTATAGAACTGAAAATGCAGCAGTTGCTTATCTACTTCAAGGACACGTTGAAGTAAACACAAGATCCTATCCTACCGCAGCAGAGCTGTGATAATTTTGTGAATACCTACCCGATAAGTCAAGATGAATCACGATTGTGCTTTCAACAATATCTGTACTTATCGCCGACCGGAATCAGCGTATGTGAATGCACCAAAAGACTTGTTTGTTTCCAGATCACGAAATCTGTCCGAAATTCCCATGCATCGTTTGGTGTGTTGTTTTTTTATTGTTTGCTGCCATCAGGTCTTGGCCATGCCTAGTGCAGTTACGTCTAGTCAGAAGACAATGTATCATCTGGAAAAAGTATGCTTTCTCTTGATCTGTGACTATCTTGTTCTAGATGATAGCACGTATTTCCTTTCATTTGTATTGGTTTATGGTAAGGGTGAAGCGACTGAATCTATAAGTCAGCTGGCCTGTTGATAATGTGAAAAGAAAGTGTTTTAAAAGGATGGCATTTCTCTTGCCTACTGGCAAAAAAGGAACGGCAACATCTTGATTTTGATGGTTGTTTGTCCTGCACTGGCTTCACCTGCCCTTGTTGCTTCATTGCCGAGTGCCAGTCAAGGGTTTCATTTGCGTCTTGAAACTGGGATGCGCAGAAATTACTTAACCTCATAACTGCAAAAGCGGCATTCAAGCTTGACTGTAGCTCAATGTACATGCAGTGCATTAAAGGCAGCAGTTCCTCCGTGGTTCAGCTGGTAAGGTCCGGTGACACATAACATTTGGTGGCTGCCTTTCCGGAGGTGCTACCAGCCAAGAGACATGGAGCAAACTATGGTCTCATGAGCATTGCCTGTCTTTGTTCTTGTACTCACTGTACAGTGGGGAAAGTATCATCAGAAGTTGATCGTGTCCATTATCAATGGGAGAAGGCTGTGGTGTGGAAAGGAAAAACACGATGCCAGGCTTGCCTGTAAGACAGTAGCAATATCCAAAGTCCATCAGCACAAGATTGTGCAACTGCCTTTACTACCTGTATCCAGTGCAGTGGCGACAGAGTTCCACATCACATGATATGATTCAATAGGTTATGTTGTGGTACAGATTGTGTGTATGTGTTTGACACGCAATGTGAATTTCTGCCGTCGCGGACCCCACAGACTGGAGTTGCACTCTCAGGGGTTCTGTACTCTTGGGAATGATAATGTAACTTAGAACCGCATGCATGCACATGTGCGTGCATGGCCCATTGACCTGTGCACACGCATAGATATGCATACAAACTCACCATTGCAAAATGCACTTACCAACTCTGCTCGCACCTACACATCAATTAGCTGCTTGACCAAGAAACATTTCCTGTCTCAGTAAAGGAAAAGCGGTACAGTAAGATCGGGCGCCGAAGAACACCTCGCCGAAGAACACCCAGGCTGGAAAACCGGCAAAATTTAAGAACAGTCCAGGCTAGAATTATCAGATTTAAGAACACTAGATCTACATTGTACGTAGATCTACATTGTACATGTATGGGAGGTGAGTACATGTCATGTACACGTGTAAACAGTAACTGCTACATGTACAGTCATTCCCATTTACGACACCCACTAGTTTAGAAGTACTACATTGCACTACATGTACATGTACATGTACATGTCCATGACAAACGTCATGACGTCACTCGACTCGCCGCGCGCGTGCGTGTGAATAAGAACGGTCTGGCTAGAATCAAAAATTTAAGAACTTTCCTAGGCTGCGCTCGAGCCCCTGCGTTCTTCGGCGCCCGATCTTACTGTAGGGGACCCGGCTGTCTTGTGCTGTGCAGTATGACAAGATACAACAATCAGGGCACAATTACCATGCGTCACGAGAACATCACGCAACACGTGCCCGTGTGGTCTAATTTAATTTGTCTTTGCTGATCAAAGCTGGCATTTTGCAATGTGCTAACCGGTATATAGTAAATGTGCAATCTTCGCACAAAATCTCCAGACAGCTAAATGTTTCGACCTTGCTGGCTCTCATCGGCGGAGCTCGGAGTGCATGTGCAATTTGCAAATTTTATTCCATCTTTAGTCAGTTCACAATCACTTACTTACAAGCTTACAGTCTCTTCTCAACTTGTACCGTATACAGAATGGTAGTGCAAGTTGCGATGAGGCTGCTATCCCATTGGTAATTGGCTATTAATAATGTGAAGCCGTGGGAGGCATCCAACCTTACTTTGATTTATCCAGTTCAGGTTGTTAACTTGTGATAGTCAGTTGTGCACTGTATTTTACTCCTTTCATTACAGGTAAGTGCCAAGTACAGGTGCAGCTTGAGTTAGTGGTAACTACACCATGCTCCAACCAGCCGGACTCAAGCGAATCCGAATGTGCTATAACTAAACTGGCTTCGAACAGCCAGACAGAGTGGAACAGCAGGCACGAGCTGTAAGTGCTGTACCTATGCAAAGTATCATATTGATACACAATGGTTGTTCATCACTTCACTGATACATGTGTGCTTCACGTTCAGCCCTAGGATATTGTACACGGCTATTTGCGTACCTTCAGTATTGACTAAAGGGATTCTCCTTATTTTTGTAAATAAGAGATGGACAAGTTGGAACCAGTTATGACTGAGGGTATGTGATCTGGTTACAAAGTAACATGGTGAACCATTAGTCATGACGCATACCAATTATCCTTCCTCTTATCTGTTGGCCTGGCACGAGGAGAACATGGATGCAGTGAATGGGATTTTCGGTTTTTGACCACTTGCTGGTGAGCTGATCTACTCACCTCCCACCGATTTAGGAGCTGCATCTGCGCCTTGATCCTTGAAGGGTGGTGGCGTTCCTACGGATGCGGAAAACTCGGTTTCAACCAAGTCTCACGCGAACCGTGAATTTATTTTATTTTATCTGTTATTGACTTGCCGTCTGAGTTCTTCCCATTTTGTTTCCTTTTTTCTTTCAGATCGATTGGAAAAGTGCAAGATCTTTCTTTGTCTGTTAAGCTACTGTAAGGTCCTTCAAAATCAAAATGCTGTGTGTCATAGGTATTATGACCATGTGGTCAGGATTACCATATTTGAGTTGTCTCTTGATTGTATAAACTACAGTAGCTCTTCCTTATCCACCTTTTTGGGGCAATGGTCTGCAAAAGAATGGATGGATAAGTGAAGTCCATGCTTTGCTACATGCATGTCTACACTCCAAAGGCACAATATAATCAGATCCACTTGCATTACAGTAGGTGCTGTACGAACGACCTGTGGTATTTTTTTACTTTGTCCCGGCGCACACTGCTCTTTGCCATGGACTTTCAGCACAGGAGGCACTCCTGGGTCTCTCAGACTCTCTTCTGCTTCCAGTATCCGCATGTTTGTGAGCAAAATGTGGATGACTGAAGTCATTTACAAGTAAAACATGAATATGCGAGGGTGTACTATGCATTTGAATGACCTTCAATGTTCATCTACCGTAGTTCACAATGCTGTATTGCAAGGAACTTTAGGACGTAATTATGTATCCTGTTTTACTCAACATTTACTGGCTTTGCATCATTTCTGTGTTGTGTTTCTGTGCAGGCAGAAGAATAGCAATCTGATCGGAAGTGCCCGCATACCCTTAAAGGTATATACAGACCATCCAGTAGTAATAATTTTAAAGGTCATTGAATGTCAGTAGTGTCAGTACTCACCATCAGTACGTGTATTGTGCCAACTGTCGCACATTCAGATTCACAGTATCTTGGCTTTTAGGGGTTCCACACATGTGCGCATGCGCACACACACGCGTGCGCGTGCGCGCGCACGTGCACACACACACACACACACACACACACACACATATGAGTACAGTCACGGAAACAACGGCGTGGTGGGAATGGGAGAATCTTTGTTCAAATATGATACTGTATGTGGTTCTTCAACTCCTAGTGTGTCATCTGTTACGACACTGATCGGTTCTCTTTTCTAAAATATGTTTCGGTTACAGCTCTGTGCTGTGATTTTCTTGTCTCGGCACGATCAATTATTCACCCATTTCTGTTGGTTTGTGCATGTTGTGTTGCCCAGGATATCCTTGTATCCAGGTATGAGTCCTGGATTGAGCTGAAGACAGAACGGGACTCCTCTGTTGATTCAAGTGGAGAGATAAAGCTGTGCATCAATTATGCACTGGAAAAGGTACCTGCTGCAATGAATTGTTAAAATCTGTTCAACAGTCCATATAATTATCAACATTTGATGTACATGTCCATGAAGATGTTGGTAGTGTGTGTGTGTGTGTGTGTGTGTGTGTGCGTGCGCGCGCGCGTGCGTGCATGTGTACATGTGTGTGTGTGTGTGTGTGTGTGTGTGTGTGCGCGCGTGTGTGTGTGTGTGTGTGTGTGTGTGTGTGTGTGTGTGTGTGTGTGTTCATGGCTCATGAGGTTTTTAAAAACATTGCTCATTAATAATCGTATGATGTCCAGTCATGGGTAAGATGAGAAAACGGTGTTCAGAACTAAAGATATACCATAAAATTCCGTAAATAAGCCCACCCTAAATAACGCCCATGTCCGATAATAAGCCCAGTTTTAGGCGGTGTACACTTCAAGTCCGTTTTAGCGCCCATGCCCGAAATAAGCCCAGGGCGTAAAGTGGACTCAAAATGACCAGCGCGCGAGCGTGCGTTCGCGTACAAACTGTAAAGTGGACTCAAATTTTGTGGTTTGATGTACCTGTACCGCGCTCAGTGTGAATGGTGGTTCACTGAAACTAGTGCCCGTACTAGTGGGTTGCTGATAGATTGATCTTCTGCAGATTGCGTCCGAAATAACGCCCATGCCCTAAAATAAGCCCATGCCCAAATATACCCCCGGTTTTTGACGCTCTGCAAAGTATACGCCCGGGGCTTATTAACGGAATTTTACGGTAAGACAACAGTTCTGCACAAGCGGACTGTTGGAATGGCCTGGTTTCTCCATCGTTGAAAGTTACTGGTCTGTTGCAAGATGATTACACTGCTGCACATTTCTTCCATTATTTCATTCCTACTTCAGTACGAGGGTGAAAGTGTTTCTTTTCAAATGTTCCAGAACCGACAGACCTAAATATGCTTGAATGTGTCTGCTTCGCAGATGCCAAAGGTACACTCTTGCAAGATCGCCGAGGATGTGTTTGAGCTGGCAGCTCAGACATTTATTTTCCAAGACTTCAAGTTTGTGTCGAAAAGCCACTCTCAGGTTGGTGCCATGTAGTGAATACACTTTGTGTTTTTATGTAAATAAGAATCATTCTGAATTTCTCTTTCTGGTGATAGCTTGCACCAAGAGTGCATGGCCCTAAGCACTTGCAAATCCTGCATATTCAGTGCTGTAGTGACAGAATTGATACCATTAAACACAATGTTATGGTGCAATGCTCCTTGTACGTGTGATTTACGACGCTTGTGCAAAGATGCCAGTGCATCGCATGCGTCTGCTCACACACATTTGTATATGGTCAGATTGTAGAATGTTCCTGGCCAGCCATTCATTCATGCCCAGTACAGTACGGATCGGCTATAGCGTTGGTGTTTGATTTTCGTGAAAATATCACTATAGGCGATAACAGGCGATCTGCATACTTAGGTATGCCTGACACATGCGTGTATGGTGTCATTCGAATCAGTGCAGCGTGCAGAAGCGTGCTGTGCATGTGACTGTGCAGTACGCGCAGTGCAGACTGCAGAGCTACTTCTACTTCCTGCAGAAACAAAAACTTCGTGACTTTTTGACAGGAGTTTTCAAGGAGTTGTTGTGCTCAACAAATGTGTTCTTTTGGAAGAGAAACACTTCAACACATTCAATCGACATATCAACAATATCTACAGGATCGATTAGTGGGAGTAGAGTCTCAGTCTTGGTCGCCATCGCTCGACTCATCACCGCTGAAACCGTTCCAAGTGGCAGGTCGATTGACGCGTGATGTCGTATGTCACGGAGAAGCTTCTCCGCGTCCCTGATCGTCTTCGCTGTTACCTGAATGCCTTCTCCAACATCTCGGCGGAGACCACGGTAGCGCTTCAGCGCTGGTACTCATTACTGCCTCCGCTCTTGCTCGAGGATGCCCCGGAACAACAAGCACAGCCAACGCCAAACATTTCGAATTTCCTCCGAGGAATATCATAGTCGTACCACTCGGTACCAGTGCTTCCTGACTGCCGCGATCAGATCTCGCCAAGTACGATGTATAATTTTTTATGATCATCACTATAGCCGATGAAAAATGTATGCAATAAAATCATTTTGACAAAGAAATCGTATCATTATAGCTGATATATTACTATAGCCGATTCGATATGTATAGAAAGGGGTGGTTTACGAAAATGAATTTGAGAATACGATCACTATAAGAGGCATATTACTATAGCCGACAACCCTATAGCCGATCCGCACTGTATCAGCTCACAGTAGCAAATGTTCCATTGAAGTAGATATACGGGAATTGGCTGATTGGCTGTCAGGTATGCTGGGAACCTGTCGGAATGTGCCCCTGAGTTTTTTTAATGGTATTGTCTTGTGTCACTGTGTCTCTTGTATTGTGTGTAGGCAAGGAACAGTGTGTCAGCTAAAGAAGGCAGGCCTAATAAACTGACAGAATTCTGTTGGGACGGGGAATTGCAGGACCTCTCCATGTATCTTCTACTTCAGATGCAGCATCAGTATAATCTCAGTGAATGCTGTGTCAATGTTCGGTATGTGCATCCATAATTATTATATCAACACTCTTCGAATGTTGCTTGTCCGCTCCTCTGTAAAATGAGGTGTTTCACTGATCAGTAGACTTCCTCTAAAAGTATCCGGGCAGTGGCAAAGAGTGACCTATTGTGGGGAGCTAGGTAATGACGGTCTTTAGAAGTAGCCTTCGCTTTGTCTTTTGTACAGATGTTGATGAAACACAAAACTCTGTACATGATGATGTTTGACCGTTATTGTCTCAGTGCTCACTGAAAATGTTTGTTGTTGACTTTCTTTTATAGATGCCTCTCTGCGGCCATTAGCATTCTCATCAAGATGCTGAGTGAGTACAGAGACTTTCACAATCCGGCTTTGCCACAAGCTCGGAAACAGAAGCGTTCGCTGAGGAATGCACAGTCATGTTCGAACACACCAACGCCGTCAGAAGTGCGCAGTTTCATTTCTTGCGTGGAGAGATATGCTGACAAGATCTGTGACAATGCTGTACTTGATGATAGTGAGGTGAGGTACCTAGCTGATTTGTTTTTCATTGATGCTCTGACTAATAGGATTTTTGTCAGTCTTTGACCACGTTGTGGTGGGTCTGATGTACTCACCTCACACTGCTTTAGGATCTGCATCTGTGCCTTGACCCTTGACCCTTGAGGATGGTGGAGTTCCTGTGCCTGTGGTGAACACGGATTGACAGTCTCATGGGAGCCAATGCCTTCGCCAACCATTTTTGAGGTGTATCGATACTCGGATGAACGCCAATTTGGTACACTACTGCTATACAATGCAATATTAAGAACTTGGTGATTGAGGTAGAGCCAACACCAGCGTAGTGAAAGACATGGGTGTGATCTGCCATGGAGCACAGGAGTGTACAATGCGTGGTGTGGACTTGTGTTGCCGGATAGCACCTCAAATCACTTTCCTGTGACTCTAGTTATGTCATGGTATGGTACTGACTCTTTTCACTCTTTGCACAAGATCATTTTGGTGTCCAGCTATGAAGTCGCTTATGTTGCTGTATGTGCATTGTGCTGATCATAGATGTCGCTTCTGAATAAGTGTGTGAAGGCCTGCTCTGACATGGCGTTAGACCTGATATCTTCCAACCGTTCTATTTTCCCACCGACCGAATCTTCCTCCTCATCTGAGTTTCGTCTGATTTTGGACCTTCTTAGGTGAGATTTTTCATTTCAGAATATGGTGCATTGACAAACTATGGATATGAGCTATGGCATTGTTATGGGAAGGTGCTGTTAGTGATAGTGACCCAGTGATGATTACAAAGAAAGTTGGGCATGGATGTGATCTCGCAAAGTTAGAAAGTGTTGCTGCTGGTGAAATGCTGGATGTGTTCTAAAAAAGATTACATCACTATCTGCAAAGCATAATAATATTATGTGGAGCTGCTCGAAACTTTTGCAAAACCTCTATTCAAAACTATCTTTTAAAACGTTTTTGCTGTTCACATGAAAACGATAAGTGTGTACACTGCAACGCGTTTTCGGCTCGCAATGATCACGTGCAATAAGTTGGCCTGGCGGCGGCAGTAGTAGTAGTAGTAATAGTGAAACGTTTTGACTTTTTACTGTCTGCACGAGAACGAAACGGAACGAAAACGATGGGGAAACACTTTGAAGGCCGTTTTTGTTTTGAAACATTTGCAAAACGTTTTTCAGCATGCTCGTGTGCACGCTCCCATCAAAATCTGTGGAAGCGTGTTCTTTTGAAAACGTTTTTGACAAAAATGTTTTTTTCAGAACTATCTCCTTTCTTTCAGAACGTGGTGGACATCCTCTCCTTTCTATTCCCCAATACCGTTCTGAATGACAATACAAGCACATGACTTTTTGACTCTGTGTCTTTGCACAGCTTATTGTCAAAGCTGTATGGACTTCCAAGTGACGGTGGTAAAGCTCGAAGTCTGAAGGGTCTACAAGAGGATATTGTCTCTTCTCTTTTGGTAAGTACTATCCTCGAAGTTCTATCGGTGAATGCAGAGTGTGCGTGTGGGGGGGGTATAGGATTGTTTCTGTTGGCCAACCACTGTTAGAGCACTCCACATTCCAAACCAGTTCAGTGTAGTCAGTGCATCAATGTACATGTAACAGTGTCAGACATGCAGGTAATAACAGTTCAATGTTCTATAGGGCTTGAAGGTGCTACGTCACAGGCAGCCTGGAGCCATTTCTACACTGACTTTCGAATCCAATTGGATTCAGGTCTTGCCTGGATCCATACACGCTGCGGCCGGCCGTGACTCAGCAATCAGAAGAAGGTCGTCGAGGTACAGGATAAGACGAATGCCTTGACGACGAAGAACACTGAGGCCTTCATCAACTTAGTGAATACCCGGGGGCGCTGGACAGGCCGAACGGGAGGCACTGAAACTCGTAGAGCTGGCTCTCCTAACTGAAGCGCAGGAGCGGGCGGTGCTGAGGATGGATCGGCACGGTTAAGTGCGTGCCTTTGATGTCTAACTTTGTTAACCAGTTGCACTCTCGGACGGACAGGGAAACAAGGTGGAGACCCTCCATCTGGAAATGTTCGTACCGCATGTGAGCGTTCAGGTGGCAAAGGTCGATTACGGGACGTTCGGCGGTGGTAACCTTCTTGGGTACGGTGAATAACCGGCTCACAAAATGGCCGGGAGATGGGCTCACAGGCCGAGTTGCACCTTTGAATAAGAGATCCTCTATTTCCTGGTGGACGGTGGTGCATTTTTCAGGAGGGAACCGCATCTCGGTCGGAGCGGTCCGCTGGCAAGGTACGGTGTGGAGGTCTAAACAGTAGCCTGAGACGGTCTTCAATACCCATGCATCTTGCGTCAGGTCTTGCCAGGCTGCCACAAAATGCTCCCATCGGTCCGCTACCCTGGGGGTTGGGGTTTCCGGGAGGCAGCCAGGCACGGGGGAGGTCGTCAACGACCTCAAGGGCGCCCGCGAAAGGGCTGGCCTCGGCCTTTTTTCCTGGCTGCCGGAAATGCTCCTCAGGCCGGCGAGTGCCAGCCCTGACGTAAGGGCGGAACTGAACTGAGTTCGACCGGTACACGGAGTGATCAGAAAAACGGTCAGGACGGGCAGGCTGCGACCGGTCCTGTGCGGTCTCCGGACGCCACCCAGGAAGCCGTGGCTGGAATACATCCATTTCCTGGCACTTGTGTTTGTACTCACGGGAAAAAGCCGTCACCGAAGAGGAGATCGCCGGAAGGGTGCAAGCCCTGCAGCAAGCTTTTCGGGCATCTCTTCGGCAGTGCCGCCACGAGGCGCTGATGACACGCTGGCACTGTCAATCGATCAGGAATCATTATCCGTACCAGAGCTACTAGTGCTACTAGTAGTTGAGACACGGTGTCGGGATTAACGGTCACTTCTACTACGACCCCAGCCGCCATTGCTGGAATGGCGGTCTGGGCAAAAACCGAGGCTGGCAGAACAATGTTCAGCCAAAGAGACAAAACGAAAAGGCTCCCCATCATCTACACAAGAGTCATGGTCCCCTTCCCTGGTGGAAGAGTTCCAAGCCTCCTCCATTTCTTGACCGCCAGAGGCTGCGGTGGTGCCACGACCAGTTTCTATTCTGCTCGTGGGTGCAAAATTTGAGGGAATTTGTATACAATTCCCCGAAACGGTGTCTCCTATTTGTTTTCCGCGGGAGTTGGCGGAGGCCGCGATGGAAGATTGTTCCTCTGGCTGTGCCAGGGTATGCAGCAAATCCAAAACAGCGTCCATCGTGGAGATTTCTCGGAAAACTCGAAGAGGTATGCAATGCAAACTACGCTGAAAATGCAGTAAAAACAAGGCCGAGGGTGGACTGGCCCGGCATGCGTGTTATGGTGTAGGAACGAAAGCGAAGCCTCTGATGTGCAATCATTGCCAAGTTTCACCATGTGGAAACTTGTTTCGTAGAAGGTGTGAAAACAGACCTCCTTTGGAGACTTATAACTTCTCTCTCTCTCTTTTTTCTCTCTCTCTCTCTCTCTCTCTCTCTCTCTCTCTCTCTCTCTCTCTCTCTCTCTCTCTCTCTCTCTCTCTCTCTCTCTCTCTCTCTCTCTCTCTCTCTCTCTCTCTCTCTCTCTCTCTCTCTCTCTCTCTCTCTCTCTCTCTCGAGCATGCTAAGACCCTCCATTTTTTGCAAATGAACTGCGGATCGTTCCTGCTTCTTGTGACACCAAAATGGTGCAGATTCCATCAAACAATCGAGTGACTTGCAGCTTGTTCAAGCCATCGACGGATACCGTAAAGCTCCGTAAATAAGCCCCGGGCGTATACAGAACAAGGGTCTGAAAACTGGGCGTATACTTGGGCATGGGCATTATTTCAGGACTGGGCCTATGCAAGGTGCATTTTGCATCGCTTGTATTTTCATAAGCATGCATAACATTTTGCACACATACGCATACACAGGTACAGCATCACCCTGGACGGGTTTCGAGCATGGGCGAATTCACAGGCTTTGAGTGTGGATGTCGATTCGATGGGCGTTATTTCGGGCATATGCGTTATTTCGGGCATATGCGTTATTTCGGGCATATGCGTTATTTCGAGTGGGCGTATACACGGAACTTTACAGTATGTCGTCTTGCCTGAAGGACGAAGCTCAGTCGGTAGAGCATGAGACTCTTAATCTCGGGTTGTGGGTTCGAGCCCCACGTTGGGCGCCAAATGTCGTCTTGGCTGAAAGACGAACTACTTCTTCTACACTCTCGCCACGCCACACAACAAAAGGATTAGGAAAATAGTTGTTTCTCGATACCGAGAGAGAGATTTTCTGTAACAAACTTCAAGCGCCGACGAGAGAACTGACAACTGACAACTAACAACAGCAACTAACAATTGGCAACTGGCAACGAGACGAGACAACGGAACATTATAGTGAAGGCGTACAACGGGGACAAGACGAGAAAGTGTGTATACAACGGGGACAGAAGACGGTGCAGCCGCATGCACGCAGGAGCCAAAGACAGCGCAGCAGGATGTACCACGGTTCAGCAGCATGTACAACAACGAGACACAACAGCAGCAGCATGTACGACAAAGAGCTACACGCGCAGCCGCATGTACAACGAAGAGATACAAGTGCAGCCACATGTACAACAGATAGTAGTCAACTTTTGACTGGCCGGGAGGATAAGGGGAGGATAAAGTATCTATGAGGCAGTTCTAATTGTCTGTGATATGTGTCTTGCTTGCTCTCAACCTCTCATCAATTGGCATATTGTAAACAAAGTACATGTACATGTCTTGGTAGTCCACCCATGATTCATCTTCATTTGTTTTTGTGCAACTGTTGTGTTGTTCGAAGGCAAGTGCAAAGCACTGGAGTAGCCAGTTCAACCTGAACCCATTGTCTTCGGTAAGTCTACGTAAAAAACAATGTTCTGCTGTTTTGCTTGAATAAGTCGCAGTTTTCTTCTGAACAAAAATAACGCATTGCCCAAGCACGCTTTATTGAGATACTCTTAGCACACATGGATACAGACCTACAGTGTAACAGCAAAATGAGTAGCGTGTACACCTTTTATTTTTGCACTGTGTTTTCATGTTTTATGCAGCTGGCGAAAGAAGTAATAGATTATTCTCAGTTGCTGGCAGTGCTGAAGGAGCTGGCAACATTCGTCAGGAAAGTAGATGGCATACTGAAGTGCAACATGAAGGATCTGGATGATCTGTTCTCCAAGTGAGTACTGTGCAGAATCAGGTTCGCAATGCCTTTCTTTTTTTGTACTCCACTGACACACTACTCGCAAGTACAACATGTAATTTAGTATGGGCTACCTAAGCCGAATTGCATTAGAATTTCTATTTTAATGAAGCCAATAATACGTAATATGCAATGACTGAATGATTACTAATGCAAACAGCAATACATTTCACCTAGAACAGTAACGGCCAAGCTTGGCCACACCAAACACCACATGTTACTTGAACAAGTTCAATGTAACAATAATATCCTTTTTTATGCACAAATTGGGCTTGTAAAGACATTGATACATGGCTTCCAACACTGTAGTCCATAACCATGACAACTGCGGTACAATACAGTGACACCAGAATACGAATTGCAACAATCAGGAGTAGCTACAAGCTAACTGTACACAGAAGATGTTTCTACTACGAAACCTACGTGAAGCACTAAGACTCTCACGACCACTCTCTTCCTCGCTACTTGACTCACTGCATTCATCACTATCCGTTCCATCGTCCCATTCTTCTGCTGACTCAACGTTTTCTTCGTCCCTCCTGATCTGATCCACTTCGTCTGACTTGGCCATCACACTCCTCACTGGTCCCTCCATTCGCTCTCGTGCGTTAGAGGTGTAGCTTCTGCTGTACTTTGCTGTTAATCCTCTTTGTCTGTCAGTTGTTGCATTGCATGGTTGGTTAGTTGTTGTTGTTATGGGTTGCGTTGTTGGTGTTGGTGTTGGAGCTGGCGACACACCAGGTAGGTCAGTTTGCATTGAATTGTAGTGCTAGTGCTGTTGGTGGTGGTTTGCGCGGCTGGCCACGGGCACGCTCCACCACTGTATGATTCTGCATTTAGGTGAATACATAGCAAATGAGAGGGGATCTCGAAAGAAAAAGTAAAAATTTTAAAGGTCTGTGTAGTTTGGAGCACCAAGTCAAATGGTCTGTACACAAGGTGTGACTTGCATGCGGGTTATGCTCGTTGCAAACTTTCACAACACACAGACCTGGTCACTGTCTGCAATATGCAAGAATGTCGAAAACCAAAATACAAAATATTCGTTTCCGAAACGAATAATTCTAGAATATCCGGTGTTCACCCCTAATTTTTAGTACTGGGAGATGCAGCATGTGGATGTGGAATTAGGAGTACTACGAGGACACGAATCGGTGATGACTACAAAAAGTAGAGTACAGTCAAACCTCGTTAGGACGAACACTGATAAGGCGAGCTTTCCATTAGTACGAACTCGGGCCAATCCTATGGTTGGCCAGGCATCAATTCAAGTCAAAATTATTCGTTTACGCTGAACTTCTGTACAGCGAACTTTCGCGAAGACGAACTTTTTTCAAGTGTGATTTGAACAAAATCAATGTAGTCGTGTACTGTAGTACGAACTTTCTGTCCACGAGCGTGCGCTGGCTGCCTTTCTTTCTTCTTTTTTTTTCAACAGTCTAAGCCATATCGTTCGTATGTACAGTGCAAATTGTTTTCAAGCGTGTTTTGAACAAATAATCAGTGCGTTGTATGAACTTTCAGCACAGCCATGATTCATTGCACATTGCCATTGTACTTACCTGTTTCTGGCTTATGCTAAGAATAAAATACTTCCCATGTACCACAGCATGCACCTTCACGTAAATACAGTCCATATGATATGCATATCGATTTTTTTATCAGATCTGGATAAGAAGAACTCCCGATAAGACAAACAAATTTGTTCAGTCCCTTGAAGTTCGTCCTAACAAGGGTTGACTGTACATGAACTTCCGAATAATAGAACACGCATGCACTCTACAGTTGCACCTATGCTCTGTCTCTGTCTGTCCGTCTTGAAGCGAGAGCTTAATTCTTCACATGATGACACACCAGCAGAGGTCCAGCTAGAAAATCAATTTCATACATTCATCAGTATCAAGTCTTGCTCCTGTTGTGTGGTTCTACTGTAATATCTCTCCCCTCCCCTTCTCACCTCTCTCTCTCTCTCTCTCTCTCTCTCTCTCTCTCTCTCTCTCTCTCTCTCTCTCTCTCTCTCTCTCTCTCTCTCTCTCTCTCTCTCTCTTACTCTTTCTCTCTCTCACTCCATACACCTGGCTTCCAGTGAGCTCTTTTTTTATTTGGATGCAACCATATTCCGCTCCTGAGCGCAATGCAATATGGTTGAAACTGATGGTTTCTTTATTGTGTTGGTGTGTGCTAGGGTTGGTGTGTGCTATAGTGATCAAGTGTGCCAATCCATGTTTAGCCAGGTAGGTAATGGATATGCCCCATAAAATAATGGTGGTGGTAATGTGGGCTGTATGTTCTGCATAACTTTGGTGCCCTAAGCAAATTCATGGTTTGACTAGTCTTTCACCATCATGTAGAGTCGTTGTATATTCATCAGGTTCAGGAGTCGTGGATCTACCGCCCGTTGTTCTGCTTTGACTGCCATAGCTGCAATATACAAAATCTTTATACTTGTGACCTCTAGCTACACATCATGGCACTAGTGAGCTAAGTGGCTGCGTAACACTGATATCATCAATAACTCCACTAACAATGTTATGGGCCAATAGATCAACAAGTTGCACATGCTTGGTTATGTACGCTTCATTCTATAAGACGTTTCAGCATAATTGCCCCTCATTTGGTTTGCAATGGTGTGCAAGCCCTCAAACATGTGTTACAAATAAGCTTGCTCATTGCAGTCCAGGTGAGTAAGAGAGTGTCTGCTCTTGCTAGTACTAGTTGTGCCTTTCATTCCTCTTAGGTTTTTTTTTTTTTTTTTTGTAACGGGTATGTCCTCTTCTCTTATGAATGCAGCTTCTTCCTGAGTTGGAAATCGTCGAGCAAATAACGGAAACCGTATCAGGACAACTGGCCGATGCATCTACCGTGGAACAAAATAGGGATTTTCTAAAGGAGCTACAGAGCTTTATGATGACATTATCTAACCTCAACGAATGTGCAAGCAAGTTTGTTCGACAATCTACATCTGAATCATGTCGGTACGTAACCAAAGGTAGACACAAATAGTTGCTAAAATGTTGTTGACTATGATGCCTAGTGTAGCAGTAGCCACTGAGAGTCCCCAGTTAACTTGATTATGCCTTGTTGTTCACTGGACTTCATTGCGATAGGATCGGCCAGAAACTCTTGAGCTCCGCTGAGAAGACCTGACATGCTGGAAACAACTAGCTGTCCAGAGATTGAGCATTTTGTTGCCTATTTATTACCGTTCGTGCATTCGTGTGTCTAGTGCGCTGTTTATTTTCCGCGTGGATCATTCCATGTCTGTCTCACCCCACACATTCGCTCTCTTTTGTGCAGGCGCAGTCGCACGCATGCATACACACACGTACGCGTGTGCGTGCACACACGCGCGCGCGCTCGCGAGCAGCCTACTTTAGCCCTGGGCCATGGGGCCGCTAGACGTGCCACCTGATACTCATCTCGGCGCACGCATACACACACACACACACACACACACACACAGATACTCATCTCGGTCCTCTCTGCCTGTTGAACCACAGGTCAACTTTCATTCGGACGCAAGTATCAATCCAGAATTTGATAACACCTCTTCTTCCACTTTTTTATCACGTATGGGAACATGAGACGAAAGAGTTGGTCAGAAGAACATTGTGCTTGGAGATGGTAAGTTGATGCTTCTATTGAATAGTCTGGAGCTTTGGGGTTCTAATTGTAGGTCATTGGTGACCATTCTTCCTACGAGGCTTTGACGCGCATAATATGGTAATCTCTCACTCTTGTCATCTCCTAAGCCTTTATGGTGTGCCATGGCTAGGTGCTTTTCATCAGATGTTCACATCTCACCCTGACTGTGATCTGCATCGCTTTTCTGAATGTTGAAACTGACCCACTTTATTTTGCTCTTTTTCAGGAGTGGTACGGTACTCAAACACTGAGAAGTCTACTCAGCCTGGACGAAGAGGGTATCGATCTTCAGTCAGCGCTCGCCCTGCGTAATCATCTGGAAGCGGTAGGTCAAGGTCACCAGTAGGGAAAAAATAGATTGGGTCAGCTTGGGTTGATCTGCGATACAGTTGGTCTGATTTACAAGGTGGTTTGATTTGTGAAAATAACCATCCTGTATGCGTGCTTATGGAGGAAAATTTGGGACCGAGCAAAAGAGATCAGATTGGTGAGGGGGTTGAAAAGGGGGGGGGGGGGTCCACTGTCCGTGATACGGTTGTTGACAACAGTATACACTGCGTATCTGTGTCTGTGTGCATGCGTACACGTCTGTGTGTATATGTGTGTTCTTCAGGTGTGGATAGCTCACAACATGTTGTTGACGGGCATTACAGCAAAGGATATTATCCTGTATGATGGCATGCTGGTTACGGTAAGTAGCATTAGCATTATTGACACGCATTATTGCACTGGTTACCATAGGTTAACACGCATGCACTCGCTATTGCAGACCAGTGGAGAGCACACATCATATGGAGGATTCATGGAGTGCTGGGCAACCGAATCTGGCATGTGATAATCATGTAGGATAGTCCACGCACGAGGTGCAGCCCATGAAATGGGCACCCATGAAATGGGCACCCATGAACTGGGCGGAGTGTGGACGGCCTGTATGATAGTGTGTATGTATGTCCACGCACAAAGTGCAGCCCACGAGATGGGCGCCCATGAAATGGACGGAGTGTGGACGGCCCACGCACGAAGTGCAATGCTCTTTAGGAGGCAGGAGTGTGGGAGTATGAGTGTGATGGCCGAAGGCCGTGATAATTGCCAGATGAGAGGACATAGCTGGCCCAGCACTCCTATTTATTTTCGTCTTGTATGAATTATGATACCTGTGTTGAAGTATAGAATCAGACATGCATGTCAGGGCAGTATCGTTGATTCAGGCCCGAGAGCGGCCCAAGGCCGAAGGCCGCGGGCCGCTCGAGGGCCGGAATCAACGATACCTGCCCTGACATCCATGTCTGATTGTATTTCACACTGCCACCCACGCAGGACAGCACAAGCGAAAGCCACAACGCTCTCCTCAGCAGAACGTGCACGTGCAAGCTCACCCGCAGCATGCTAACAGCGCAAACAAAGCCACTGTATGCTGCACTAATCTGCATAAATCGAACTTGAAATACATCAACTAGAAACACCGAGTGCCTGCCTTCCCAAGTTCTCAAGTCCTTTATGGCATTCGTTGCACAACAATGGCAGAAACTCACAAGCTGAAGTTCCACGTCCGTGCGCTCTCGGGCAAGCCGTCGAGCGCACGGCTGAAGTTTCGTTCTGAAGTAGGCTCCGTGCGCTCTCGGGCAAGCCCTCGACCGCGCGCACGGTACGGCTGAAATTTCGTTCTGAAGTTTCGTTCTGAAGTAACGTTAGTTTCAGCTCACAAAGTTTCAGGTCCTGAAGTTCCAGCTCCGTGCGCTCTCGGCTCTCAGTTCTGAAGTTTCATGTCGACCAAGGTGAAGTTTCATCTTTTGTTGATTCAGGTCATCTCAAGGAAGTTGAAGTTTCAGGTCCGTACTCTCTCCGGCTACGGAGCTGAAGCTCACAAGCTGAGTCCTCCACGTCCCCGACCACCACCCCTAGGAGTACCTTCCTTTTATACCTTCATCCCGTCGTGCTCAGTTTCACCTCCACACATTCTCAGGACGTGCTGATTGGTCAAAGGCCTGAATGGCACGGCATGTACTAGTATGTCGAATATACCCATACTAGCCATGTGTGAATATACCCATGTGTGAATATACCCATGTGTGAATTCATTCATTCATGCCCTACCATGTGTGAATGAGTATATTCACACATGGTAGGAGGGCATGAATGATCACGTGATGGGGTGTACAGCGCAGTGCATGGTAGTACCGTAGTACTAGTACTCAGTAGTAGACGTGGCTGGCAGGGCATGATCAGAGGTTCATGCCCAGCCTGTGACCGCTCTGATTGGGTCAAACCGTGGCAACGATCACGTGGCAAGTGTGAATCAAGGATATCAATATTATTCATACTTGGTCCGCCCAGTTAAAATTGGCGCTTATCTTCACACTTGTCGCAGGGAAGAAATACGAATATTTGAAGCAAGCCACGATCACAAAGCACTATATACATGATTATTTACATGTCAGTAAGCAACTCAGTCGAAAATTCAAGCAAGTTACACATCCTCCTCGCCACTATCGTTGCTGGAGGAAGAGCTCAAAACGTACGATCCGGACAGCTGCTGCACGGGTCGTTTCATAGCGTGTTCCACTTCTCCTCGTCTCGAATCACGCTCAAAGGCAGTGCGTGCCTGTCACCTTCCCATCAGAAGCTGAGTGAGACTGCCCGCATGTTGACTGTAAGTGTTATCCCCGTTCGTCGCAATAATGCGACTTTGTTGGAGACAAAAAGGCAACGCCATATCAGTGTCCTTTTTTCAAATCGCCTCTTGCGCTTGTCGTACTTGCTGATCAGCACCCGTACCCACGCGAGCCGCTGGTGCTTGTACATGCAGCGCAGTGATAGCTTCCGCTTGATGTAGCACCTGTGCGTACTGCACCTACAACGCCGTGCACCAGGCTTTTCGGCTAGTTTCCTGAAAGTCCTTTGCACGAGTGTTTCTCTCAGGACTTGGTGTTTCCTTTGATTAGCTCCTTTGCCCTGTCCTCTGTGAGCTTCAAAGTATGTCCGCCGGATTGGTCTCACTTACTGGAGACATCGACATGAGCTGCAGTTTCTTCGTCAGCGATTTACTGGTGATAGCCCTTCACTAGGCGCTGTACTGTGCAAGCACTGAAATATTCAAGCTCGCGAAGCGCTTTTTCAGCTTTTCTATACCTCCCCGGGGTAAACAATCCTTGCCATCAGACAGCTGGAAGTAAACAGAAACTGTATTCTCCATCGCTCTGAAATGCGAACATCCTGACCTATTTTACGGACTCGAGCGGAGGTTGCAGTGTTTTCTTGCGCTGACGGAAGTGTTCGTCGGCGGCAGCTCCGTCAAAAAGACTCAAACGAACCGATCGCCACTTCTGTGATGGTTTGTGCTGCCATGTCGTCGGATGCAATGGTCAATGGTCATGTTCGGATGGTGAATCGGTGGTTCCATGCCGTGTGGCACAGGCAGAACACCAAAAAACCAAGTGAGAAGATAAGCGCCAATTTTAACTGGGCGGACCAAGTAGATGGGAAGAGGTGGGTGGGTGTGAAAGGACAAACCGGTGTTCTTCTCACTACCCAAGCAAAGCAAATATGAAGTAGCAATGTGGCCAGCGTGAAGTATGGTGTATGCGTTACGGGTTCAAGCTCCGATGTGTGCTGCAGCCGCATATGGCTGGTTGGCTGGCGAGTTCAGGTGAGTTCCGGCGTATGCATGTTACATGCCACCACAGCGTGCATGTACGTGTTACTTGACATGCATCAATGAATAGCGTGGGATCTGCGGGCTCTTTGGAAGCCGCTGGAGCACGTGTGAAGTGGTGGCTTGTGCAATGTGTTAACCTACATTACCGCAAGCTCTAATGTGCTATTAACACGCATGCACTCGCTATTGCAGACCAGTGGAGAGCACACATCATGTGGAGGATTCATGGAGTGCTGGGCAACCGAATCTGGCATGTGATACTCATGTAGGATAGTCCACGCACGAGGTGCAGCCCATGAAATGGGCACCCATGAACTGGGCGGAGTGTGGATGGCCTGTATGATAGTGTGTATGTATGTCCACGCACAAAGTGCAGCCCATGAGATGGGCGCCCATGAAATGGATGGAGTGTGGACGGCCCACGCACGAAGTGCAATGCCCGTTAGGAGGCAGGAGTGTGGGAGTATGAGTGTGATGGCCGAAGGCCGTGATAATCGCCAGATGAGAGGGGATAGCTGGCCCATGGTTGCCCAGCCTCCATGCTAAGTTGTGACACATTGCAATGCACGTGAATGACACTGTTGTTGCTATCAGCGCAGTTTGTCAGCACAATCCTAGCAGAGCAAGTTGCTGTACTGTTCCAAACGGTCAGCCGTGTGGGTACGTGCATGGGTGCGAGTTGCGTGCCCGCGTGGCAGGTTCTTACATACCTCCATGCGTTCTGTGATGCGCTTGTACCTCTGACAGCTTTTGGATCAGCTGCGCCATGTCTGTGTCGGTTGTCCTGATGTAGCGCAAGACACTGTCGCTTCTCCATTGGCCCATTGCCCTGATTAGCCAGTCAGGGGTACCCGCCATGGCTGCAGTTGTGGCGGCACCGATGCGGAACGAATGACCAGCGTAATCGCGTGAATTGAGTGTTCCCGTGAGTGGGAGAAGCTGTCGGAGCTCTTCTGTCAGTGTCTGCCTGGTCAGCGGTCTCCCAGAGCGGGAGCGGAAGAGTGCGTCAGCGGCGTCAGACGGACAGACTGTAAAATATGCCAGGAGGGCGGCAACCGGGCAAGGTTGTGAAGTGGTACTACCGATTATCGCTGCATGGCCCTGACGGAATTGGTCCGTCTTCGATTGCTTGATGATTCTCTTTGTACATACATCTACATCTACTGTTCTTCCAATCAAATGAACCCCTCGATAGGCACATTGCCTTTGGGTCATTTCATAATAATAATAATAATAATAATGTGGAAGCGGATATATGTGCGTCCTTGAGTGACATCCAGCGTCACATCCTGGCGCGTGTCAGAGCTTGAACCCGTAACGCATACACCATACTTCGCGCTGGCCACATTGCTACTTCATATGACTGAGAAAGAAACAAACCGGTGTTCTTCTCACTATCCAAGCAAAGCAAATATGAAGTAGCAATGTGGTCAGCGCGAAGTATGGTGTATGCGTAACGGGTTCAAGCTCCAATGTGTGCTGCAGCCGCATATGGCTGGTTGGCTGGCGAGTTCAGGTGAGTTCCGGCGTACGCATGTTACATGCCACCACAGCATGCATGTACGTGGTACTTGACATGCACCAATGAATAGCGTGGGATCTGCGGGCTCTTTGGAAGCCGCTGGAGCGCGTTTGAAGTGGTGGCTTGTGCAATGTGTTAACCTACATTACCGCAAGCTCTAATGTGCTATTTTCATGTATTACACGGTACAAGCTGTTTTCACCCTACAGTGTACAGGGCATGCCATTTCAGTTTGAAATCATGCATGCCTGATGAGTTTATCAAACCTGACTGAAATCGTAACTTCTCTCTGGAAAACAAGGAGTACCTTGTGAGGATGAGCTAAGACCAGCTCGGTTGTCTTGGTGCAGCTTGGTGCCCTACTCATACCTGCCAACACCCCTCTGCGGTGCAAGTTGAAGTCTCGTCAATCCAATGGCATTGCAAGTTTTCGTTTTCAGAGTAATTTCGAAGAAGATGGTTGAAAATGTTGAACCTGTGAGACCGAATAGCATTTTAAATGCAGCATACATGTATGCTTGAATTGCAACACACAACAACTGAAATATTGTACCTTTACATCATGCTGGCAGCTTGTGTAGTTAGACTATGCATGGCATGCTTTCAATAGGACGTTGAAGGTTCGGATATCAGCTGTGTTTGTCAAAAATGTGGGCATGAGCAAAGGTTTGTGTTTGTGCTTTAGGTCTATCTGAACTGTATTGAATACTACCTGGCTGAGCTTACAGACTACTGCCCAACCGATAGATCTTCTTTACACACCGGTGCTGGTGCTGACATCAATCCAGTAGTAAGTGGATTTTCTTCAAATTTGAAAGTTTAAAATAAGCTGGAGCTGACCCTGTAAATCTGGCAAATAATCAGGTGGCTGTTCCAGCCACTAATTGTTTCTTTTTTCGTGGCATAGGCAAACAAGGTGCTCCACTGTCCGAAGAATGCTCTAAAAAGAGTTTCGATGATCGGTTAATTGTGAGGAGCATGAAGCTTGTTGTGTGTAATATTTCCTTGAGTTTCTTAAAACACATGATATTTTCATAATTATGCTATTTACCACCCAGCCACTGATGGTTCTGAACAACTGGTCGATAGCCCAATCGATCATCAAAGACCTTAGCAGAAGCCTGTCAGAGCAATTCCGCAATATTTTCATCAACGAAAGGTAAGTAAAGGTAGTTTGATGCTTCCTTTGGCCATATGGTTGTAGGGTATTCACATGTGTTCTTCTATCCATGGCAACCCCAAAAATGTATAAAAAGGGGATAAAGTATGAGTACCTGTCCACCACTGTAACTAGATACTATGTCCTTATGTCCATAATTATGTCCTTTTCCTTTCTACACTTATTACTGGCTCAACATCGGAGATAAACTATGGCCATAGCAACGGGCAGAGTGTTTCCATGCTGAGGAGGGGAGTTAAGTACTTTCAAAGCGTGAAATGCAAATACTTATTGGACATCCCAAATCCATAGCTTTCACTGTGTTTGGGAAGTTTTTTTAAATGATAAATGGGCATAAACAGCTCCCATCATTTCTACTCTTTCTTTCTTGTTGTATTGCTGGCTTATGTCCATACAGTACCAGTGACGGTGTCTCTCCAAAAAGTTTGTTCACGTTTGGTCAGGAGTCGCTGAAGGACTTTCACGAGAGTCTTTTGCTGCAGTTTGAATGCTATCAGGAAGGAGAGACAAACCTTGTTGCCACTGTTTCCACCGTTGTAAGTAGACATGTATATACCTGGGTCAGTATGCCATTGTCTCCGATCAGAAACGACTACATTGGTCTCTGCAGGCTTCTAACATAACAGCCCTGGTGATTTCTATGTTCTGTGCTGTGATCCAGATACTACAACCGTTCATCACACAACTCATGCATTGCGACCTTGCGGTGAGTACCAACAGTTCAAAGTGTGTTTTTTTCCGGTGCAGGCAAGCATGCCTAGAAAGGCACGATCAGTAACACACACTGGAAATATTTGTGCAGTTCGCATGGGTGTTATAATTCTATGTGGTTGCATGTCACTGTTAGTACTACCTCCGACAAGCGAAACCTGGCGCGTGTTTTACTTCAAATTACTTGAAATAATTCACACTTTAAAATCAAAACTAATGATTGACTCGCCAAAATACAACTTTGTATTGCTCAACAAGGACATTAGAGACATCAGTTAGGCTGAGTCACTCTCCTCTGATTCAAAGATTGCAGTTTCTTCTGGAGAGAAATAGTCCCTGTTTTGAGACGAAAGTGCGACTAAAGCGGATTCAGTTGCAGCAAGTACCTCTGTTGTGATCGCTCTGGAAATCGCGATGTCGCTCCTGTGTGCCGTGCTTGAGCTTCGGTGTGGAGGGTAGTCATTTCCGCCGCCACTATCCAGGTTGACGTGGTAAGAACTAGGAAAAACCTCGGCTTCACACGCGCCTGGACTCCAACTTTTTTGCCGGGTATTCTCGCCAACTGTCCATAAATTTCCTGCAGCAATTCGTGGCGATTTTCCTTAGCCACCAGAGACCATCGCTCTGGAGGCGATTGAAAGACGCTAGGATTGTTTGGCATGGACGTATGGACTCTGTGCTGGCTGAATGACCAAGTGGAGAGAGAGAGAGAGAGAGAGAGAGAGAGAGAGAGAGAGAGAGAGAGAGAGAGAGAGAGAGAGAGAGAGAGAGAGAGAGAGAGAGAGAGAGAGAGAGAGAGAGAGAGAGAGAGAGAGGGGGGGGACTCCTTGGGTTTGCATTGAAACGCGAAAGCACGACGATTCTCCTTCGCAGAATAGACACGCGCACTGTTGTGATGGTAGGTCTACAAGAGACTGGCCTGCCTCTGACAAAGTCTCAGTCATGTGCCACTCACCAGCTCGTCGTTTGGCTTCCTGCACCCGGTTGCATGGAGCTACAAGCAGGTCGTACCTAACAGCCTTGTGAAGTTGTGGCACCAAAACAAAACATCAAAAAACGCGCCAAGTTTCGCTTGTCGGAGGTAGTAAGTTTTAACCTTCAGCACTGTAACCAAGAACTACCATGGAAATCAGCCTACAAAGTAATTCCTTAGGTTCTCCTTTGATTCTGTTTGGTGCTAATGTACCTAGGAGCATGGATACGAGACATTGCAAGGAGCTATGTTCAGCCTGAAAGTCCTGTTCCAAAGCTTTGAAAAAGTCGTGCAGCTTGATACAACATCAAAGTGAGTTTGGATCATGTATCCACTATTTTTGTTTAGCATGCATTGGGTCCTGTGCATTATCTACTGTGATTCTGTGCTAAGGATGTCATTATGGATTTCATTTGAAACTATTTACATGTATACGAGTATACCCAGCACCGGGAACCAAAACATCTCAAATATTTTGTGGATTAACGGACTACCGATCATTTGATTCCCTTACTCAGTTTGGATCGCTTAGACATGTATAGCCTAGCTCTCTTTGGAGGTAAAACCTTTTACAGAATAAATGATGTTTTCCTATTGTAAGTTTCTCTCTGGCAGACATGCATAGACCCAAGAATTGGTATTGAATGAGGGAAACGTCTGATATTTGCTGTACTTATGGCGGTTTGAAGGTGCGAACAATAAAAATGCCGTTTTCGAAGAGTAATGGTGAGGAGAACTTACCATTACTGTGTCTTACTAAGAGCCTGTGTAACTTGATCTTGCTATTATACCTACCACATACCTCTCACAATTGTAATGACTGCATGGTATGCGCCTTGCAGGTTAGTGGCCGCTATGTTCTCCAGGCTTGTTGGTGCCATAAAAAAGCAAGTCCTGTCGCGTCCTTTTGTAAGTAGTGCGATGTGCTCTCTGTATTTGCCTTCTCATGCCCCTTCTCATGCTCAACTAAGCCAAGGTCAGCATATGCTACCTCAATCAGTCTAGAGCCCATGTCTGGGGAAATGGGTTTTGATTGGTCTGTTAATGATCTCACAAAAAATGCCACCGTCTTTCTCCTTCAGGAATTATCCTCACAAGAAGCTAAATACACGGTTGATGTTTTTGGACAAATTTGATTGAGCTTGCTATTCCTGCTGCAATTTTCATAGTGCTGTTTGGCTGGGACTGATCTAACCTTGAAAGCTGTTTGGAGGACAAGTTACCCGTATGCCGGTGATCAGGGTGTGCACGCCATGCGTCTGAAACTGAGTGTCAGCAGCTAGCATGCTTGCACCTTTCGTAATGGCTAATGATCTCTCTCTCTCTCTCTCTTTTCTAATGCTGGTGTAACAGGTAAAGCCAGCCTTCTATCGTCGATTGTTGTGGCAATTGTCCAGTAAAGAGAATAAGGTATTATCAGCAATCATCGCATTTATTCTTCCCCCTCCTGAGACTTTGATACGGTTCATAACATTATGGCATTTATGCTTTTCAGTACGTTGCTGTCGGACAATCCAAGATATGCAGGGTGAGGTGTTCAGCTAACCGTGACGTGGATAACCGGCATAGGACAGGGTGAGGTGTTCAGCTAACTGTGACATGGATAACCGGCATAGGACAGGGTGAGGTGTTCAGCTAACTGTGACGTGGATAACCGGCATAGGACAGGGTGAGGTGTTCAGCTAACTGTGATGTGGATAACCGGCATAGGACACTATGTCATTGTGATGTGTGTGTTCAGGAAACCAGCTTAGAACAACTCTTTGCCTCGCACACCAAAGAAGATCTTCAGGAATTGGCTGCTTTCAAGGTGAGTTTGCCATACTATTCAGGGAATAATTTACTTTCTATCTTTTGCATAGCAATTTTGCTATGCAAAATCAAACTTGAATAGCAATTCGAAAATGTTGCGTAGCAATTTTCTTCAACACTTGACAACCATCCTTCCGGATAGCTGATCAGAGTGCAGGCTCAGACCACAAGTACACTGTGACACCTTAGTTGCAAACCTAGCCTGGTGCCAGGATGCATAGCTAAGCCTTTTTGAAGTTGTGTGCATCTATTTTATCCCTAAGAGACACACCCGGCATGTGCACTGTGCATCATAAGGTACGGTGAAAAATCACTATGCATCGCAGTTTACTGCGACACATTTCTGAAGTTGCTTCGCACCTCAGAAGAATTGCGTAGCAAACTGCGATGCATGCCGGTTAAATTATTCCCTGATATTATCTTAGAGCCTCACCCAGAAAAGATGTTTTTACTATTAATTTTAGATATCCACGACATGATTCATTGAAAGTGTAGCGTCTCTCCTAATTACATTCTGGCTTATAGTATGCTCATGTATGTGTTCTTGGAGTAGTGCACTCAGGTATTCACACAACACACAGGCTGCACTGTACTGTAGTTCGATATTCTTCCCAGCATAATATTATTGCGCTATGGCTGTCCATGAACACGATGAAGAAGAGCTCTGCATGCCACGACGCCTCTAGTAGTTATTTCAGCGAGCCTCGTATGACACAGAAGCTGTGCCTTAGGCGTGCGACAATATGGAAGAGGAAGTGGAAAAATATCGCACTGTGCATTGTTGTGTTGAATAAGGAGTGATCTAAGGAGGTGTACTGGTCTCCTCAGTCTACAGCAATGAAACAAGGTAACGATGAAAATTGCATATGATAAACAAATGACAGTAAGTATTGGCGCGGTAGTAAATAATCAGAAATGGAACGTAACTAGAACATAGAGCTCGACTAGAAATAATATATCCTGCAGGCATGGCCGGATCTAGTCCAAACTGAATCACTCATATGCACTTCAGTAGAGCCAAGGTCAGACAAAATGCTTTTAAAGGGGAAGTTAAGGCAAAAATTAAAATTTCACCAGTTGTAGTCTTCGGGGTGCTGAGTCGAATGGTCTTGGTCCGAGAAAGCTGAGACGCTCCCTTCCTACTTGACCCAATCGAACTCGCGCACTTCCACCGAAACTGGGTGACTGCGCCCTACTAGATGGGGATTTGTATGCAAAATGTCACTAAAAGCGCCATTTCGTTCTTATAAAAGCACGGATGACCGCGATTGGCCCATATGTTGTAGTCTTTTGGACGCTGAGTCGACTGGTTTTGGTCCGAAAAGGCTGCGATGCAGCGTTCCTCCTTTATTCCCAATCGAACATGGTTGAACAAGCGGTCACGTGCTCCTGGGTGCCCAAATCACCTGGTCACCACGCCAGCAGGCGACAAATTTCACACCAAGGTTCAACTCGAGTGACAGGAGTGCACCCAAAAAAGGTCAAACAGGCTAGTAAGTTGTACCCTGCAGGCACGGTGACCAGGTGACTGGTGTACGCAGGAGCACGTGACCGCTTGTTCAACCATGTTCGATTGGGAATAAAGGAGGAACGCTGCATCGCAGCCTTTTCGGACCAAAACCAGTCGACTCAGCGTCCAAAAGACTACAACATATGGGCCAATCGCGGTCATCCGTGCTTTTATAAGAACGAAATGGCGCTTTTAGTGACATTTTGCATACAAATCCCCATCTCGTAGGGCGCAGTCACCCAGTTTCAGTGGAAGTGCGCGAGTTCGATTGGGATTCAAGTAGGAAGGGAGCATCTCAGCTTTCTCGGACCAAGACCATTCGACTCAGCACCCCGAAGACTACAGCTGGTGAAATTTTAATTTTTGCCTTAACTTCCCCTTTAAGACTGTTCAAGACAAACAAGGAGGAAAGTGAAGAGAGAAAAAAAAGCCACCTGCTGTCTAGGCACAGGAAGCCTGACCCAACCACGTTCATGCCCTGATAGTAAAACAGTGAAAAACGGTGACGTAAAAATAAAATAAAAGGTTTGCTGATATCCAACATGCTGAGAATAGAGTCACTCACAGGGTTAGAGAATGCAGACTACCTGAGCAGTTTCCTCATCTCAATTAAATTTCAAGGAGTGTTCTATCTGGTTTGTGTTCGTTGCTGTTTAGGATCTTCAAAGGTTCCTGGGCATAAGCGGAGTACCAACACCGGAGCTCATCAGCCGGTTCTGGGAAAGAGAGGTATGCCACCAGCACTTAAATTTTGAAAAGGCTCGGGTGATAAGTGCTGAGCTATGAATTGAGTGAATGGCAACCATAATTATAGGAAGGGTTGGGATGCAGATCTGATATTGTGTGGGTAACAGTTTATGCACATGATACGAGGTTTGGTGGAACCAAAACCTAGGCACGTACATGGGCTCATCAATGGTTCGATGGTTCACGGGGAAAACAACTTCATATCAATGTCTTTGTTGTTGTATTGTGTGATATCATGGAAGGCTGCTGGCTGTGCCAAGCTCCAGATAGAATAATTATTGCTGCACAGTCGCAGTAGTTCTAGATTATCACCGACTATGATATCCCTAGTGTGGATTTCTTTTGTCGCTGGTCTGCTCTATTCATGACAGGCTGCTAGTGTGCCTTTGCCGGACTACGTGACGACATCATTCCCAATAGTAATCAAGACCAGCTACAAGAGGGTTGACTTTGTTCAGATGGATATATCTTGTGAGTTGGGCCACTTTTAGAAGGTCTCTCTGGAACTGTGATGTATTTCAAACTGTAGGGCAAATGAAGTCCCACTCTCCATCACCGTAATCCAGGGTCTGAACTCTGAAATGGGAAGGTAATGGCTGTGCACAGAGCCGGTTTGCAGTGTACATTGTAAAATGGGGTGGGTAACACCTAGTATTAATGATTTTGAGTTGAACCGTAGGGTTTTGATCACCTGCCGTGTGTCTTCCTTGCCTGTACATTCTTTCTAGTCTTTGCCTTGATTCTAAGTGCATTTCTTTGTATACATGTGTTTCTTCCTCCTGTTTGACAGGCCATTTTCCTGCCACTCTTCACAATAGGAACACTGGACCAGGTATGGCACTCGGGGCTTAGTAGCACACAGGGGGGATTCTGGCTAGAAACCGGGACTGAATTTTGTTGCTCCATACCCCCCCCCCTCCCTCGAATAATTCTCCCAATGAATGGTGGAATACGAAAGATGTTGCGACATCGGTGGAATGCTTCATCTCTGAACCGAGATGTAGCAATCTTGGCAGTAACCCATAGCATTGTTGGTGCTCTAAACTATGGCGCTCATGCTTCCGAAGTACTCATGACCTCTTCGAGCGTTGATGTCTCTTCTCCAAGCAATATATCCACCCAGATATACCCCCCCCCCCCCCACACACACACACACACACAACAACCTTGCATAAATTAAGTTCTCTCCTTCTGCAGGTTCTGTGCTCGATCGATTGCTGGATTTCTCTCCAATGCCACATGACCAGGGAGAAGTGTTGATGGAGCAGTTTTATGTCCCATTTCTAAACACGAAAGACAGCACTTACTCCTGTGAGGCAAAGCTACATAGCTGGGACCAGGGTGTAGATGGATCACCATCAACACTTTCACTGTAAGTTGTACAGTGTGCAGTGCAAACACACACATACACACGCGCGCGCGCACGCGCAGACTCACACACACTCACGCACACCTATTTATTCTATGGATTCTTTATCAAAATGGCGGCTGCGTTTGTATCTCCCAACATTACAGCATGTGTAGGGTTCGTCTACCCGAAAGTGCTCCAATACTTACCCTTTGCTATGTTACAGATGTTCATCTTACCTCCAGTTCAACTTGCCTGACCTCATCTTTGGCATCAACAAGAGTTTATAGCCATCTTCCATTTACATGTCGTAATAGCTTTTTCGAGACCACACAGCGCTTGCAGACGACAGCACGAACAGTTGACCAGCCACACTCCACGAGAGCAAGTAGTATTACTCCTGACAAGTCTTGTTTCGTTCCATAAAGATTCCGGGAACTTATCAGAGGAGAAGCAGTTGTTGAATGAAGGGGTTAGGCTGAATAGTGCTTTTTTACAGAGAAGATACTTGCGCAAAGTGTGAACACTCAAATAACTCGCATATGTGACAAATCAACACAAAAGGAAGTGCAGAATGGAGGTGTTATGAACCCTACCAGACACAACTATCACAAGTGCAAAGTCAATCACTATGAGGAGGAGAGGTACACACGAATAGGCTGCGTTAGTTTACACGTCACAACAAGTACTAGGTTGGTGACACGGCTAGGTGAAAAGTAGACTCCAAGTGAAAGCCAACAAAATCATCACAGACGTCTAACTACCCAAGACAAATACTTCACGAACCTCGAAAATTGAAAAGTCAGCCAACGGTGGGTGAAAGGAAGGCTGCTGGGGTGTGACTTAGTCGAGAACTGTGGGCTGCTGAAGCGACGTATCCATCCAGATCTTCACTGCAGGTTTGGAGTCTAACGCTATATTCCAAGCAGCAGATCACATTCTTCCTCTGATCAATGGCAGGTTTCCTGGTCTAGGAGAAGTCGTAATTCTTTGTTTCCATCTTCAATAGGTCCGTCTAATAGTAGTAACGGCTTTTTCATTTGGCCCGACCGACGAGACCACACAACGCTTGTAGACGACAGCACGAACAGTTCACCAGCCACACTGCATGAAAGCAAGTTGTGTTACTCCTGACAAGTCTTGTTTCGTTCCGTAAAGATTACGGGAACTCATCAGAGGAGAAGCAGTTGTTGAATGAAGGGGTTAAGCTGAATAATACTATTTGATAGAGAAGATACTGGCGCAAGGAATGCAAAGAATTACATCTTCCATTTACTGAAGTAATGCAAGGAAAACTGCACAAGCGGTCTTAATTTCACACTAGTGCTGTATTGCAGTAAGAAAAGTGATCGCTAGTCATGGCACACACACACTACATGTTCTATCTTCATGCCGACTTTCGTGCTGTATTGTTTTTTTTACTGATGTGCAGATGCTTTACTCAGCAAGGCATAGCGGCTGCAGGTGCCTGCATTCTCTTCCGCCTGTATGACCGGCGCAAGCGGAGGTTCCACAGCTCTGAGGAGTACTATGGCCGTGCTCTGCTGCCCCTTGCCTCGTTCTACAACAAGGAAAGACGCTCAGCGTTCACATCACTAGATGTAAGCAGACAATCTAGTGTGTATTGTCCCTTACAACTTCCATGTTTGGGTAGCAGAATTGGGTACTTCAGAGCAACTATTCAGTACCTTGGGGTCGTGGCCTACCAGAGAAATCACACTCACCGCCGTACTGTTTTTCCAGAAAGGAGAAAAAAACTACACTCGCGAGAGAAATAGCGTAAATGTATACATGAATCAAAGGACCGCACGCATGCGGGAGAAAGTGTTGCAGCAGGCGACGAAGCATCGTGATCAGTGTTGGGTATGGGAGACTGAGCAGGAGAGAAGCGCCTGAAAACAATGACTTACTAAATTCCTAGCCACGACTGCTCAGCTGGGCTAGAACAAACACATCAATATGGTACCCGGATCAGGGTGCTTTACATCAACTTGTTTTGTGAATGACAAAGCGTGTGTCATATAAAGAGTGTCACATGAAGAATTAAAAAATGTAACTTTTGATTTCCTATCGTCCAGCTTGTCTTCACTCTGCAAGAGGTGTCAGGTGGAGAAGAAATTTTCTTTGCTCTCAAACACCGAGCTGATGTAATCAAAGGTGCAGGCCTTGTGTTCTATACCACTGAGGAGAAGTTCCGAAACCTTGGACTTCATGCCCAGCAGAGGCTAATGAAGACAAGGCCAGCTAGGTGAGAGGCACTATAGTGCACATCCTAGATTGCCTGACCCTTTGCTTGTCACTAAGTTACATTGTAGGCCGTGAGCGGTCCTCTATGTAACCCCATATTTTCATAATGAAGAGTGTAATCACTCCGGATCTAGACTCCCACATCGAAGTATTTGCCATGAGATTTAGTCTTCCATAACCAGTGCCCATTGGTCTATATTCTGTTCTGCTGTGACTGACATGCAGCGCTGTAGAATTTTCCTTGCCTCGCTTCTCCAAGGCATAATTTTATAATTTTAGTTTTATGAGGATCCCATTATGTGAATCAATCCTAGAATATCTAAAATATATTGGGCCTTCGATGGTTTTGTTTTATTTATAATACCTTGAAAAACGATTTCCTTTGTAAAGATGATTATATTTCTACATATACATGTACGAGACTTCTTGGGATAATATATTCAACAATCGCTGTGGGCATAGAGATCAAGATAATTGTAAGTTTGTAACACCTTTCAAGTGTAGAATACATGTGCGATGAGACTATTTACCACACTACATGCATTATCATGGCACGCCAGCGTGCATGATCGACAGGAATGATTAATCAACGGGTTCAAGGTAATCTGGATCTGCAACCACTGGCGTTGGCATGGCAGATCTCAATGGCACTTTGTGCAGCATTGGGTCATCATATTCATTGGCGGCGTACTCAGAAGTCCTTGCTTTCCTGGAGTCCTCTGGTTGTTCCTCTTCCTGTCCTGCAGTCGACCTGTGCTCAGACCCAGCCATCCGTTCTGGATCACCTGAAGCAGCATCACTGCCATCGATGGTGGCGGACCCTAGATCCTTTGCAAGATGGCTAGGATCAGGGGATAATGAATCGTATGTAGCACTGGTGTGTTTTCGTTCCTCGGGATGTAGGGTCACTACAGATAAGTTCGCCTTGGGCTTTTCTGATACGTTTATACCAGAAATTGTCAGTGAGGACTCGTATATGTGCTCGCCAACGTCTGACGTCTGTTTCTCAAATGGCACGGTCGGTCTGTTGGATGCGTTGATGTATGCATACGCATAGTCTTGAACTGGTTCGATGTCACCGCTGGCGTTATTTACAGCAGATTTGGCATAGTAGTGAGGACCTGACTTAGTGCTTGCTTCAGTTGCACTCCGCTCTCTCTGCAGTCAAAGGGGAAGGGGCGTGCACCAATATCACAGTTATTTCAATCACCCATGCATGTGTGCATGTATTATACATGCAAGAATATCAACGCAGGTAAAGGAAACAAAAGCGATTGTACAAAACCTCAGTGTTTATTTAGTGAATTAATTGATCGGACTCGAAAGTGAAATATTACCGTGCATGTACTTCCACGCACAACAGCACAGGTGCTTAAATCCGAATATAAGCACATGGTCACATAATAAAAACAAGCACATTTGCTAAAATATGAACAAAACAATCACTCAATTTCAGTTAGCGCCGGGCAGTTTATTACTTAATTCGCCAGTTGAGAAACTGATATCGATATGTCAGAATCACTTTTCACTCCAGTTCGGCAGGGAATGCCTATGCAAAACTGTGTGAAACTGCATGAAGACTGGTGTCTGCACCAAAAAGGGGATAGTATTACTTGTATGTGCATTTTTATGATCCGCTGTGAACCCTACTATAAGCACGTGCCTCTGCATGAGCAAAATTGACGTCTTGATTCTGCCCAAAACAGCAACTTTTCGCACATAACGCGTCATAAGCACATAATTCCTTTGTGCATGGAAGTTCGGTAAGCACCACAATCTACATTCCACAGGCCCTGACACAAAGTAAATGTACCAGAGGAGCAGCTCATGTCATCAAGTGATCTACAATGTACAAACGCCATTCCTGCCATCCTTTAAAAATTATAAACTGACAGGATCTCCCGTATGTTAGCTGGGTTATTGTGGGTTTGGAGAGAGAGAGAGAGAGAGAGAGAGAGAGAGAGAGAGAGAGAGAGAGAGAGAGAGAGAGAGAGAGAGAGAGAGAGAGAGAGAGAGAGAGAGAGAGAGAGAGAGAGAGAGAGAGAGATGATAAGACTGTACACTTACATCCTCTTTGGAAAATCTGAATGACCATGCGCGCACTGAACTTGCTCGGTTTGGGTCATAGCTGTTCTTTTGTGATGATCTACAAAGCAAATGAAGCGGAAAACTACATGTTGTAGACTTTGTGTGGGGTAGTGCCTTTGCTGTTTGCGTTATGCAGAGCTCACTGACTTGTCAGTTTGAGCACTCCGGCAAGGTATGTTCGGGCCTGGTTAGAATCTGGCTTTGGAAATTTTATTTTTCATTGCTATCAGGTTCGGCCTCATTTCCTCTGTGCTGCGCTGATGAGTCCACAAAGGACGAAACAGTTCTGTCCGCAGATTGAGTATTGTAGACTTTGTGTTAACACGCATGCACTCGCTATTGCAGACCAGTGGAGAGCACACATCATATGGAGGATTCATGGAGTGCTGGGCAACCGAATCTGGCATGTGATAATCATGTAGGATAGTCCACGCACGAGGTGCAGCACATGAAATGGGCACCCATGAACTGGGCGGAGTGTGGACGGCCTGTATGATAGTGTGTATGTATGTCCACGCACAAAGTGCAGCCCATGAGATGGGCGCCCATGAAATGGACGGAGTGTGGACGGCCCATGCACAAAGTGCAATGCCCGTTAGGAGGCAGGAGTGTGGGAGTTTGAGTGTGATGGCCGAAGGCCGTGATAATTGCCAGATGAGAGGAGATAGCTGGCCCAGCACTCCTATTTATTTTCGTCTTGTATGAATTATGATACCTGTGTTGAATCAAGGATATCAATATTATTCATAGATGGGAAGAGGTGGGTGGGTGAGAAAGGAACAAACCGGTGTTCTTCTCACGACCCAAGCAAAGCAAATATGAAGTAGCCATGTGGCCAGCGCGAAGTATGGTGTATGCGTCACGGGTTCGAGCTCCGATGTGTGCTGCAGCCGCATATGGTTGGTTGGCTGGCGAGTTCAGGTGAGTTCCGGCGAACGCATGTTACATGCCACCGCAGCGTGCATGTACGTGTTACTTGACATGCAACAATAAATAGCGTGGGATCTGCGGGCTCTTTGGAAGCCGCTGGAGCGCGTGTGAAGTGGTGGCTTGTGCAATGTGTTAACCTACATTACCGCAAGGTCTAATGTGCTATAAGATAACAGTTAGCTGTGTACCTGCACATCAACTTGACTTCCTCCTCACTGTATTTGTGTACGTCCTTAAAGGGGAAGTTAAGGCAAAAATTAAAATTTCACCAGTTGTAGTCTTCGGGGTGCTGAGTCGAATGGTCTTGGTCCGAGAAAGCTGAGACGCTCCCTTCCTACTTGAATCCCAATCGAACTCGCGCACTTCCACCGAAACTGGGTGACTGCGCCCTACGAGATGGGGATTTGTATGCAAAATGTCACTAAAAGCGCCATTTCGTTCTTATAAAAGCACGGATGACCGCGATTGGCCCATATATTGTAGTCTTTTGGACGCTGAGTCGACTGGTTTTGGTCCGAAAAGGCTGCGATGCAGCGTTCCTCCTTTATTCCCAATCGAACATGGTTGAAGAAGCGGTCACGTGCTCCTGGGTGCCAAAATCACCTGGTCACCAAGCCAGCAGGCGACAACTTTCACACCAAGGTTCAACTCGAGTGACAGGACTGCACCCAAAAAAGGTCAAAACAGGCTGTAAGTTGTACCCTGCAGGCACGGTGACCAGGTGACTGGTGTACGCAGGAGCACGTGACCGCTTGTTCAACCATGTTCGATTGGGAATTAGGGGCGAACGCTGCATCGCAGCCTTTTCGGACCAAAACCAGTCGACTCAGCGTCCAAAAGACTACAACATATGGGCCAATCGCGGTCATCCGTGCTTTTATAAGAACGAAATGGCGCTTTTAGTGACTTTTTGCATACAAATCCCCATCTCGTAGGGCGCAGTCACCCAGTTTCGGTGGAAGTGCGCGAGTTCGATTGGGATTCAAGTAGGAAGGGAGCGTCTCAGCTTTCTCGGACCAAGACC